GGCTATGTTGTTGGCTCGATTATTTGGGAGTTGGTTTAGGTGTTGATGGAATATTGAGGGGTCTCGCGGAATTTTTGGATTTCAGGGCCAGCTGCATGTCGTGATTAAGGTTACCGCTCTAAATATCGCGAAAGGTGAATAACACACGTCAAAATTTCACAGGAAAATATCACCATAAAAAATATCACTGGGTAATATCATCAATAATAATAACATCGCAGCGATAAATATCACAAATTTATAATGAGACGGTAGGGTAAAATGGACGCTATTGACTTTTTTAAAAATATTCATAACTCAGAAACAGATTTATCAACTGAGCTCAGTCTAAACGCATCACAAAGAGGAATCATTATTTTTCAATTGAATAATAAAATTATTCCATTTCATGAACAATTCAACACGTCATAAATATTTCAAAAAAAGTCAAAAGTGTCCGTTTTACCCCAACCTCCCCTATATTATTTGTTTATCCTACTACGACTTTATACCATTGGATCTATGGGGACGACGCAGACGCCGTACCGCGCTGGTGCCCTTCATTCGACCGGATAGACACTTCGGGGAGAATGTTTTTGAACGGTGGGCCATGGACGAACGCGTTGGGAAGGGGGGATTTTTCGGGGGTTGGGGATTTCTTTTGTTTTGGGGACTTCCTGAGGAAGATTATGGGGTTTTGTTTTTTTTAGGGTGGGGGAGGGAGGGGGGGTTGGAAGCAGAATAGACCTGCACTGTTGAGAAAATGATAAAATTCGATGGACAGTTGGCTAGTAATTTTTAGGAGAGCAGCGAAGATTCAGATTTAGAGGGGAATAATCATAAAATTTCAGATTTTGCGGAAAATTCTATTAAATCTCAAACTTAAGTGACAATTGACAATTCAAGAATTCATTTACCGAAATTTTCTCGATGTCTGCTAATTTTCGTAGGATAATTGAACTAATATTCACAGTTCTCATAAATTTCCCATGAAAATCTCAATTTTCGATGGCGAAATGTCTCGAAAATTTGCATTTTACTTGCATTTCAAAAAATGTAACAGAAATTCCAGTCAAAAATTGTTGACAGTCTATAGAATTGTAATCAATTTATGGGTTATTAACATTAGAGAGGATTGAGAGAGAATAAACTAATTTAAAATATACTATTCCTTTTAGATATTATTAGATATACTACACATTAATTTCACAATAGAGTTTTTTTCTTATCAATATTGTTTGTAACATACTTTGAACCTGAACGCTGCCCCTAAAAGTACGAGAATTGTTTGTTGAAGTCTCCCCCCCTTGTATTATGAGTATATCTCTTAGCAGCATAATTATTATTATTTACCGAAATTTAATAATAATATAATTATAATAATAATAATTATTATTATTATGATTATTATCTTACGAGTGCAAACTGTATTTCTATTGTAAAAAGTGTAATGCCATACAAAAGGAAAATAAATCATTCATTTGTAATAATGATAATAATGATAATAATGATAAGTCATATTAAATATTATAGAAAAATAGTTCACAGTTTTTCATATATCATTTGAATAATTGTCTAAAAAGAGTGTTTTAGATGGAATTATAAACATTATATTATGTAGGAAGCATAATATAAAAATTTTGTTTTGGATTTTTTTTCACGATTGGATGATGTTGGAAGAATTGACCAACTGACGCTGAAATATTCTTGATGGAACTCGTGGCGACATCTCTGGGGGGATTATACTGCCGTGGGAAACGGCGCTAGAATCAATTGAATTTTCCCCGCAGCGTCATTTGCGAGAATTCAATTGATTGTGATCAGTAGTCATAATATAATTGCTATTTGTGAATTGTGGGTTGCAACATTGATCGATGGCTTTGTAAACAATTGAGGAAAATAAATGATATGATGGAGAGAGAATGAAAAGATGTTTTAGAGTAATTTCGAGATTATTGTAATTTTTGAGAAAATACTTTGGAAGAATTTTTTAATTAAGTGGTTGGAGTAGATGGAAGTGACTGTTATGTCGGAGTGGAAGAGTTATCGATCTTCTGAGGTGGGTTTCTAATGGTAACAGCCTGTTTATGGTAACCTAAATCCACTTGGCAATCTACCTTAATTGATGTTTACGTCTGACATTGAGGTGCTTTCAAATTGACTGTAATTGGAAAGAATTTTCATTACACTTAGCGAGATGCAATCGTGCAGTGGGATTGATAAGTTGGGGGAACCCTCTGTCACATCTAGCGATCCGAATGAACGTAAATTAGCGAGGAGGATTAGAATTCAGAGGAGTTTGGAAGCACAGAAAAAGTAAATTTTAATTTTTTTGTAGGGGAGGTTGGGGTAAACCGGAGACTTTTGACTTTTTTAAAAATGTTAATGAGGTGTTGAAATGTTGATAAAATTTAATTTTTTTTTTTTCAATACAAAGAACAATTCTTTCTCTTTGTGACGAGCCTAAACTGTGCGCGATTGATCTATTTGTTTCTGAGTTATGAATAATTTTAAAAAGTCTAAAGTGTCCTTTACTCCACCCTCCCACATCTCAGAATTTTGAAGGGAGTTTCCTCTCAATCTGTGATTTAAATCAACTGTAGGAGGCATGATCCAACGGAGGATGAGGCGATCGTTGAGAAAACCGAGACTGAAAAGCAAATTGATGCGAGTGAAGAATTGCTACAGAAGTTGATAACTGAGGGCAATGAAATAGTGAGTTGAAAAAGTCAAATCCATATCACGATTGATATGGGATCATAAATATCAGGACTTATAAAGAAATTTTTGTGAGACGATTTGGTTGAGAATTCGAACATTTCCTATGAAGGAAAATGGAATGAAATGAACTTTTTTTTATAGGAAATATAAATTTATATAAACCCAGCTATTAAGGGCATGCAATTGCTTCGCCCATTGTTTTTCATCCTATAATTATTTTTTAATATTCCTAATTGAACATCAGAGCTTTTATACAAGTCCCGCGAATTTTATTATTCACATTTTTAATGTCTGAGTTTGATTTTTCGTTTTGAACCTTTACGAAAATTTTTTTTATGTGCAATTTTCATATCTACAATCTTTTACAAAATAGGTGAATTTTTGAAAGATGACAACTTTCGTTCCCGAATAATTCACAAGCTGATAATTATAGAAAATGAAATTATCTACCCTAAAAATCATATTTTCAAAATCCTAATAAATTCTTCACATGTTCAAAATTTCACTAAAAATTGATCTCATGTAAAAAAAAAGCTTCAAAGTTCAGTTTAAGAAAAAAATTAATGTTAATAATCAGGTGGCTATCTTCAACTACTTTTTAATACTTCAAATTGAGCATCAGAGCTTTTGTTCAAGCCCCATGAATTTTATTACCCAAATTTTCAATATCTAAATTTGATTGTTCGTTTAGAACATTCACAAAACATTTTAAAAATCTGAAAAAAAAATTAAAAAGTCTACATTACTGTTCCAGTTTACAATTTTTCCAAAATAATTAAAAAATTGGAATTTGCGAAAATGACAAATATTTGGCTAAATAATTTATAAGCCGAAAATTGTAGAAAATCAAATTTTCGAACGTAAAAATTATATTTTCAGAATCGTAAAAAATTCTTCCCATGTTGAAAATTTCACTACAAATTAATTTCATAGAAAAAAAAGTTTAAAGTTGGATTCGAATAAAAAAATTAACGTTAACAACCAAGTTGCTAAGTTTAACCATTTTTTTAAACTTCTAATTGAACATCAGAGCTTTGATTCACGCCCCATGAATTTTATTACTCAAAATTTTAATATCTAAATTTGATTCTTCGTGTTGAGCCTTGACGGAACATTTTAAAAATCTGCAAAAAAACATTAAAAAATCTACGTTAGTGTTCAAGTCTACAATTTTTCCAAACTAATTGAAAAATTTTAATTTTTAAAAATGAAACATTTCTTGTCTAAATAATTTAGAAATCTAAAATAGTAGAAAATCAAATTTTACAACAAAACAATTATATTTTCAACATCGTAAAAAATTCTCCACATGTTGCAAAATTCCACTAAAAATTGATTTCATATGGAAAATAAAGTTTAAACGTCGGTTTAAAAAAAAAATATCGTTAACAATGACGTTAGTATTTTCAACTAGTTCACAACCGACATTCTATAGATTTCGAATGTAAGAGTAGCTAATGACGCTCGAGAAGTCGCTCGCAGAGAAGACGAGATCGCCACACGAAACACTCTACTGGAAGGCCTAGAGAAAGAAGCTGCTGATTCGTTGGAGAAATACGAGGAGATAAATTCCAAATGGACTCCAATTCTAGCTTCCAAGGATCCTCTAGACATTCACGGAGGCATTCAATCTCAAACGGCCAAATGTAACGAAGTCTTGGCTCAAAAGGACATTATAATATCCGAATTAAAACAAGAACTGGAAAATGCTGATTTGAAATTTGAGAACGATCAGAAGAAGCAGAATGATGATATTAATTTGCTGATTGAGAGGATTGAAATGCAGGTGATTTATTTTTCTGTTTCATTCCACTTCGGATTCATATTTTTTTGAGTATCTCAAAGTGATGAAACCATAATTCGGTAAATCATCGTATCGTACATGTTGAGAAATTCTGCATTTTCAAAGGAAATCATTTCCGCGTTGGTAATTATCGCGAAAGTATTTCGCTGATTCGACTCCTGAAAAAATGGCTTCATACAAATTGAGATTGAGAAAAGTATTAGCAAAATTTTCAGCGTATGATCACATTTTTTAATGAAATTTTTTGTTCACAGAATGAACATTTCCACGCACTCAAAAAATTAATAGAAAATCTTAGCGAATTCGCTAGCCTATTCTATTGAACTTGCTATTAATTTTTGGTTGATTCTATTGAAATGTTCAATAGAAAATATTCTATGGAAAAAGTCAATAGAACTCGATTTTTCTATACAATTTATTCTATTGAGATATTTTCTATAGAATTTCTTCGACTCAAATTTTCGAAGTTTCTTTCATTCTATTTTTCATTGAAAAAATCAAACGAAAAAATTCGAATTTGAAAAAAATTGAACCGAAGAAATTCTATAGAGAAAAGTATTGTCAAAATTTTCAGCATAACATCAGATTTTTTTTAATGAGATAATCTGTCATCGCTGAAGAATAATTCATTAAATTATCTGATCATACATATTACGAACTTGTGCATTTTCATTCAATGAAATAATTTTCTAAATAATAAATAATTGAAATGATTAAAATTAAAAAATAATTGAAAGAATGTCCATAAAAAAATTTCATCTCTTTTAACTCCTCGCGACCGGGACTCTTTTGTTTCCAAGCGTGGTGCATGATGAATGAAAAAATACGAAACTGATATGTACTTGAAGCTACAGTATTCTTTTTTTCTGATGTAATTTTTCTGGTTGAAATTTTTCAATGTAATTTTTTTGGTCAATTTTGAAATGAGTTATTCGCCTTTTTATGGGTCGATACCACGTATTGACCCCATGCGTAAGAGGCTTAATGCAGACAATCATTGAGAAATCGCTCTGACACTGAATTCTCTCCTTTTTTTTTTTCAAGATAACTATAATGTCCAAAGCATACAGACGCGAGCTAGTGCTGATAGAAGATGCCCTGAAGAGTGAAAGAACCTCTCTTCTCGAGACAATCACAAAAAAATGGGACGCCTTATACAAAAAGCGCCAAGAGAACGAAATTGACGGATTGGAGCGGAGAAAGCAAATAATGCGTGAATACGACAGAGAAATGGAGAGTGTGTTAATCGACCATCAAGAGCAGTACAGAGCGCAAAAAATATGGCTCGAGACGGAGTGCCAAAAGCTCCAGCAGGAGGTTCAGAACATGCAGGCACTTTGCATGATGAATATTGAAAAATTAAATTACAGTTATGCTGTGCTGAAACGGCGGGAGGGCGAGAACACGATTGTGAAGAATCAGCAGAAAAAGAGGATCAATAAACTTCACGATGTCATAAACGGTTTGAAGAAGACTTACGCGGATTTGGAGGAGAGCACGAGAATGAAGATTGAAAAGCTGCAGGAGCAAGTGTTGAAGGCGCATAAAAATATTCAAGAGTTGGAGTCCAAGTCTCGGCATTTCAGCTTTGTCAATGACAGACAATTCATGCAAATTTGGGAGATGAATACTAAAACCGCGGATGGGCTGCTTGATAAGGTGCATTATGAAATTAATTTATGGGATTTTGTGAATCTTTGGGATTTATTGCCTCCGAATGGAAGCATTGTATTCGTCATATCTGAAATTTACAAATTTTTTGCCAGGATAACATACGCATGACAAAATTTAATAGAAAAATTAAGCGAATTCGATAGAGTTTTATTGGATTTATATTGAACTTTCTCTATTAGTTTTTGGCCGATTCTACTGAAATGTTTAACAGAAAATATTCTATAGAAAAAGTCTATAGAATTAGATTATTTTGTACAACTTATTCTATTGAGATATTTTCTATAGAATTTCCTCGGCTCAAAATTTCTGAGTTTTTTTTTCATTCTAGTTTGGTTTTCTTTTCCTCAGAAAAATTAAACAAAAATACTTGGAAAGTTTGAGCCGAGGAAATTGTATAGAAAATCACGCAATAGAATAAGCTGTATAGAAAAATCGTGTTCCATCGACGAAAACTAATAGAAAGTTCAATAGAAATCCAACATAATTGTCTTGCGAATTCGGTAGGTCCAAGTCTCGGCATTTCAGCTTTATCAATGACAGACAATTCATGCAAATTTGGGAGATGAATACTAAAACCGCGGATGGGCTGCTTGATAAGGTGCATTATGAAATTAATTTATGGGATTTTGTGAATCTTTGGGATTTATTACTTCCGAATGGAAGCATTGTATTCGTCATATCTGAAATTTACAAATTTTTTGCCAGGATAACATACGCATGACAAAATTTAATAGAAAAATTTAGCGAATTCGATAGAGTTTTATTGGATTTCTATTGAACTTTCTCTATTAGTCTTTGGCCGATTCTACTGAAATGTTTAACAGAAAATATTCTATAGAAAAAGTCTATAGAATTAGATTATTTTGTACAACTTATTCTATTGAGACATTTTCTATAGAATTTCCTCGGCTCAAAATTTCTGAGTTTTTTTTTCATTCTATTTTTCTTTTCTTTTCCTCAGAAAAATTAAACAAAAATACTTGGAAAGTTTGAGCCGAGGAAATTCTATAGACAATCACGCAATAGAATAAGCTGTATAGAAAAATCGTGTTCCATTGACGAAAACTAATAGAAAGTTCAATAGAAATCCAACAGAATTGTCTAGCGAATTCGGTGGGTTTTTCTATGAAATTTTGTCATACGAGTAATTTTGCCCTCAGAAGTTCCAATATGCTATAATTAAAAAAATTATTGTTGAAATTAATGGAATTGTGATTTAAAATATTCTTCCCAATGTCATCTAGACCGAGTTCAATCATGAGATTGAGTGCATCATCTGTTGGTGAAAAATTTTTTTTTAGCACCAATGTTCAGGGAACAGTAAAAATTGTAACGTTGGGGCAACGTTGACTGCCAACGTTGGGGCAATATTGAATTCAACAAATCATTGAATTCAATTTGAAATACATCTTCATAGAAATTCTATTCGGAAGCAAATTGCTAATTTATTAGCAAAAATATTGTGACTATGTTGTGACGAAAGCAATTTCCCACTTGTTATATTGTTCACCTTCAGATTTTGGCTGCTGATCAGATAATTTACGAACAAATGCTGGGACTGGATTGGGAACCACCGGAAGAAAAATTATTGAAGAAGGAAGACCTACCGTCTTATTGTAGAGCTATGGAAGTCATCGAGCAAAGTAATTGAAAAATCCAAAATTAATTGCGATTTATACGGGAAAGACTCTGGATAACAATGCGAAGCACTAGAATATTGGAAAAACACAGTCATCACTTAGTGAATTGAAACATTTATTGAAAATTTTAGATAATTTAGTCATTTAGTTAAAAAATCTATAATTGTCCAGGAATTACCAAAAATTTTCAGAAAGTTCTCAAAATTTCGAAAATAATATCATCATGCATCAATTTGTTTTCTCGATAGATTTAAATATCTTCTCAACACTCCGATGGATTTCTCTGAAATGTAATTGTCATCATAAACTATAATTCCCCTAAACAGTAACTGTCATCCCCTTCAGATGCAGCAGATCACGAGCAAATAATGAAACTATGTTCCCCCGAGAAGCGAAGCATCTCTCCCGAGCGTAAACTTCAGGAACAAAAAATATTGAATCACATAATGAGACAAATTTCCGATCAAACTGGTTTCTTGATCGAAGACAAAATGAGAGAGCTTCTCTCGACTCACTCGGATAATGATCAAATAGTCATTCGGTTGGATAACGTGTTCCAGGTGAGCATTTCCGACACATAAATTCCAGTTCTGCTTCATTTACAAATCGGAGATACATGAGGATATCTAACTAATTTAGTTCTTTTCTTTCTGTCGGAATCCTTTTCTACATTTACAATTGCACATCAGCGCTGTCATTTAAGCCTCATTTGATTTAATTAGTCAAACTTTGAAAGTGTAAACTTTATCCTTAATTTTTTGCTGTCAGGAGATATTTAAAAAATGAATGTCATTTGAATAACACAAATTTTTTAATCATTAACAAAATTTTCAAGAAGCAGGAAGACAATGATTGAATAATTTTCTACGTCTGCAGTTTCACATCAGAGCTTTCATTCGAGCCACACTTGATCCTATTATTCAAACTTAAAAATTGTAAACTTTATTCTAAATTTATTACTTTATCCTAAAGTCATTTGAATAGCAGTAATTTTTGAATCATTATTATAATTTTAATTGAGTGAATCAATTTGCTTGAATTCAATTTATTTAATGTGACATTCACTCTTTCAAAATATTCTCAGGCAATTGAATAGACAATTGTCACCAGAAAAATCTCACAAAGCAGTTAGATATCTTCTTCAGAAGCAGTTGAATATCTTCAATTCATATCCTGTTCGAGAAAAATTGAAATTTCCTGGACAGTTGACTAGTAATTTCCAAGAGAGTGACATTGAATTCGATTTAAGGGGAAAAAATCATAAAATTTCGGATTTCACAGAAAATTGCATGAAATTCTCAATTTTCAATAATTCCCTAAATTAATAGTCACCACCAAATTGTGCTAAAAATGCAACTAATTGGAAATGAAACAATTTATTCATCTAAATGTTCCTTAGTTTTCCTAATTTTGATGGAATCATTGATCTGAAATTTAATTTCCATCGACTATCCCACACAATTTTGCATCCTCAATGACGAAAATGCAAAAAAATATTCCCTGAAAATCCAATGTAAGTGTAATGTGATGAAAATTTCTAAGAAATGTACCTGAAAATTCAGCCAAAAAATGACTCCATTGACGCTTTCAGGCGCTAAGTATAGGATCAGAGGATCAAGTGGACTTGCTAGTGAACTTCTTCTTGCCCTACGCATACTGTCCAGTCTGTGACGAGGCAGAAAGACAACGAAGGCTCCAGGAGCAGATGCCCCCCGAGGCTCCAGAGGACAGGAACATCTGTCTCTGCAACGAGGACGAAAAATCTGTTCGCCTCATCACACGAGTCCTGAAACACTTGTACGACCCAGATCCCGAAGAGGAGGAAATGTCAACCCCCGAGTCCACCCCAACGCGATCAGAGTTGTCAACAGGCAGTGAAGGCTCACCTGAATCCGAAGTTGCGTCAAGCTCTCAAGGGGAAAAACTCACGTGTGCCGAAGGACATTTACTCCAGATCCACTCCGAAAACGTCATAAAAGCCCTCCGGGAATTCGTGGAGAAGTATCACGAGGCGAAACGCGCTGAAGCCCTCTGGAATGATGGAAAATTATCCCAGAGCATAACTCCCTCAAGAAGCATCACAGCCCAAGACATGACTGATTACTGGAGAAAATACAGGGAAATATTCTCCAGAAACAAGGAAAAACTGTGGGATGCTCTTCTGATCGGATTGCACAAGTATCACGAGATACTGAAGGAGAGACACAAATTGAGACACGAGACTGATTCCCTTCGTCAGCAGAATGACGAGTTGAGGAGACTGCTGGATACGTACAAAGTGAAGGTACATTTTTCCCTCGTCGACGCATTCCAGTCATGAGGATCCCAATAGTTCACGTAGAAAAAAGTTTCATTGAAAAGCCCAGAGAATTTCTTAAGAAGTTTTATGGGAAACCCGGAAAATTCTACTGGATTTCTGCTGAACTTTCTATTAGTTTTTGGCTGATTCTATCAAAAAAATCCGAAGTTTGCGCGTTTTTTTTTCAATAGAAATGTCCAATGGAAAATATTCTAGACAAAAATTAATTGAGTTTGATTTTTCTGTAGAAATTCCTCGGCTCAAATTTCGTACTGTTTTCTAAGGCCCGGCTGGATTAACTTTCGAACGGTTTCTCGAGTGTTTTTCCATCTTCATAATGTAAAATATATCATCATTTTCATTGGATTTTACATCACGCAGGAGTCCCTAAAAATTATGATTGTGCAATCAAAAAAAGTAGAAAAAAACTGAAACTTTTCAAAGAGCGTTTTTAATAAAAATTAAGAAATAAGTCCGATAGAGAGGAAATAGTGAATTGATAATTTATCATGGTTACTAACGATCTGACAGCCATTGACTACTGCGACAAATGACGGCCTAACGGCCATTAGATACATCAAGTTATTCGCAAATTTTGCAATTTCCTCCCCAATACTATTCAAAAACGCTCTTTGAACATGTTTAGCTTTTTTCTACTTTTTTTTGATTGTACATTCATAATTTATGGAGACTCCAAGGCTGTATAAAACTGAATAGCAATTGGAGATCATTTCAGATTATTAAAATGAAAAAAAAACAATCAAGATCACGTTCGAAAGATAATCCACTCGGGCCTCAATCTAGTTAATTTAAGGTCGCTATAGAATTGCTATAGTTATAAGTGACCGTTTTTAAATTTCACGTGCTAAGTGGAAAAAGGAGGTATTGACCATTTCGGGTTTTTTATGTCAACGAAGTGGAAAAAGGTCGCATAAACCTAATCTAGGGAACATGAAATTTGGACGATTTGGGCTCTGCAAAATCATTTTGACCCAACTTTTAAGGACAATTTTTTTACGACCTTTTTCCACAAATATTTCTCCAATAGTGCAAAAATGAAAAAAAAATCTTTTCACTGTTTTCTCTTCATTTTTTTGTTATTCGGTCGTAAAATTATGGTAAAGGTACATTTTACAAGAAACTGAATACACTGACACTTCAATTAGATTATTTAATGAATAATATCAATGAAATTGAATCACTCAATTACACTTAATTCACACATAGTAACCAATTGATTAATTAATTAATTAATTAATTGAAATTGGACATTTGCTTCGAATCGTTTGACACCGGTCAAACTCTCGACTAATTGTCAAATGCGATTGAATTCAAAAGTTGAATTAAAGTATTATCTTATTATTTTCAGTCTGACACTTGCTGCATACCAAGCACTCGATCGAGATCTGCGAATAGAATATCCTGAGTAAAACTCCAATCAACTATTCTCGAAATAACATCGATTTTCCGCAGATCTTTGCTTAAATTCATCTGTTGCACATGAATTTAATGTCTATGGATTGACCCTAGAAGCAATTGAATCAGGAGATTTTATTTCTCATGCATTATTACATAAGTAATACTGTGAATTCGAAGAAAAAACAGAGACAGGAGAAAACAATTTGAGGTGAATCCAGGTGGGATGAAGTGTTCGTGGAACATCTACCTACTAATTATACACATATCCACCAGACACAAAGCTGTTGGATAGATGCATCTGAGCTGCTCCATTTCTGTTTGGCTTTATTTTTCTCTTGTACGGAGTGAAACGTCTCCTCTTCGCCTTCAGTGGACCTGAACGACTCATTTTTTGTGTGTGTTTCTTGGAGGCAATGTGCTGAAACAAAAAACAAATGGGAAATTCCTTTTTTTTAAATACCGCAGAGCTATTTTTGATAAATAAATTCGCAATATGCTTCCGAATGGTCATGTTGCACATAACTGTCTTCTATCGTATATTATTTATCGCTTTATACTATATAAATAAATTCTATTCATCTACATTCATGTAATAATCAAATGAAAGAGAGATTCTAGCTATATTATCTTGAAATTTCGATAAAATGGTATTAAAAAAACTTCTTTTGTGCATAATTGAATGAATTTGATATGAATATTTTGAGCTATGATTAAATTAATTTGAAGTATGGTATTCTCATTTTCAAAAAATACGAAATTAGTGAAAATTATATTTTATAAATCAAAACGGCGATTGTTGTTATTGCTTTCGTCTTCTAATTTGCTCAAAGGGTCATGGAAAGATTTTTTTTGAGTCATAATTCGATGAATTCAGAACTTTTTTTGAGTTATCGCAGGACAAACGATTTGCGATAATTTCATAACGAATAGAATTCCAATAAAACCCTTGGAGAATTACAATATTAATTCAATTGAATTTTTTAGTGCAAACACTGTTTATTCTATTGGATTTTTTCATCATCATTTTATAAATTTTAATGAAATGATTTTTTTCCATAAAATTATGACATTATTTCAGTAGTAAAATTATGAAACGAAATGAATAAATTAAATTTCACAAGTTTTCAGTGACGATCTTCGAGCGTAACCGAAACAGAATTTTCTCTTTATAGAATTTTTTAAGAAACCGGACTAGAATATATTTTTTTCTCACTGCACATATCCAATGAAAAATGAAATCTGATGCACTTACGACATCATATTGAGCCTTTGAATTGAAGAATTTGTTGCAAGCCTCGCAAGAGAGTAGACCCCCTTTCGTGGAAGTTGGGGCTGGCACTGGTTCAGGGGCTGCAGTCTCCTTGACCTCATCCTCATCAGTCCCGGTCCACGCACCTAAGCATCAATGTGCAATCAACACTATCTATCTATCACAACTGGAAAATATGCCATTTGTGATAATAAATGAGCTTGAGCTACATTCATGCCCACAAAAAGAATCAACATTATTGAAAGAAAAATTTGTGAGTGTCATAATGAAACTCGAGTTGTTCCAGACTTCGTGATCTCAGGAGAGGACCATTCACTCATTCGCAAATAGAAAAAGTCGATCAAGAAGAAAGAGACTTCACAAAAATTTCTGAGAAGATATATTAAATAAAAAATTGAATACAGTGATACTTCAATTTGATTATGCATGACATTCAATTACTTTATACTTCATTCTCACATAGTAACTAGTGAATTAATTAATTGAAATGTTGATTTTAATTTCGATCTTTGAAATAGGATTGAATTCAAGAATTGAATCGAAGTATTTTTCTGATTATAGGAATAGTCAACATTGTTGAAAGAAAAACCTGTGAGTGCCCGTTTGAAACTTGAGTAATTCCAGATTTCCTGATGTCAGGAGAAAACTCATTCATAATTACAAAAAGTGGATTAAGAAGGAAAATAAATACAAACATAATAATACGAATACAGAAGGCTTGTGCAGGATTTATTCGATGTCTAAATAATATTTGGCCTCCGTGAACTCGAAAATACTGACAATGAATGAATCATCCCCAGAAATAGCACAATAATCAATGAATAAATAGCATAACAGCTACGAAGCGTTCCAAAAGAGTACTGAATTTTTAAAAAAACACAATCATTCGAAAGATAATTGTGAATAACAGAGTGAAAGAAAGGGAAGCAGATGATCGAAGCATTGGAAAAACTCGTCAATTATCCTGATGTTGGGAGAAGACTCATTCATTCATTCATAATTAGAATAATTAGCATTCATAATTAATGCTCACAAAAAAATCAACATTATTGAGAGAAAAACCTGTAAGTGTTAGTATGAAACTCGAATAGTGTCAGATTTTCCTGATCTCAGGAAAAGACTCATTCATTCATAATTACGAAAAGTAGATTAAGCAGGAAAAGAAAGAGAAAAATAGTAATATCAATACGGAAGGCTTGCGCATCCCTGATTTATTCAATGCCTAAACAATATTTGGCCCCCGTTAACTCGAAAATACTGAGAATGAATAAATTATCCACAGAACTAGCACAATAATCAATAAATAAATTAACAAATAAACAGCATAACAATTATAAAGCGTTTCAACAGAGTAATAAAATAAAAAAGAACACATTCAATCATTCAAAAGTTAATCGCAAATAACAGAGCGAAAGCACAGGAAATCAGATGATTCGAAGCATTGAAAAACCTCATCATTATTGAGAGAAAAGCCCGTGAGTATTAGTAGGAAACTCGAATAATGTCAGATTTTCCTGATTTCAGTAAAAGACACATTCATTCATAATGAGGAAAACTAGATTAAGCAGGAAAAGAAAGAGAAGAATAATATCAATACGGAAGGCTTGCGCATCCCTGATTTATTCAATGCCTAACCAATATTTGGCCCCCGTTAACTCGAAAATACTGACAATGAATAAATTATCCACAGAACTAGCACAATAATTAATAAATAAATTAACAAATAAACAGCATAACAATTATGAAGCGTTTCAACAGAGTAATAAAATAAAAAAGAACACATTCAATCATTCAAAAGTTAATCGCAAATAACAGAGCGAAAGCGCAGGAAAGCAGGTGATTCGAAGCATTGAAAAAACTCATCAATTAATATAAAGGTGAAAAACAAAAGTCAGTAGTAGCAGCAGGCATGCGAATGTGAATAGCATCAAGCAGTAAACAAGTATCACATCATTCTTGTGGACCAACTTGTCCAGGTACATTGTTCGTCTACATCTAAAACCATGGGGCAGTGAACTTCTGTCCCTCTGGAGATTATTACCTTTCATCACTTTCTTCTTGTGACGATTCCCTGAAAGAAAATTCGAAATTGTTACAAATCAATGGGGAATTTGGGGGATTCAATAGTCTTGGGAGGATTATACCATTCAGATGCGTTTGAAGCTGTTGTATCGAATTCAGACAAACATTGCAGACGTTGCACTTGAGTCCGTTTGCCTCTTGGTCCTTCGTGAATGCCACTTTAGTCTCTTCGAGGGTTGCCATTATAACTTTCGATCTTATCTGAAATTATCAGAATTTAAGTATATGCAATTCCGGAAAATGAGGCGATTTTCTCGTCTTTATCTCGTTCGATAAGAAAAATTTTAGTTATCTGAATTCTTTGTTGTAATGACATTTTTCAGCACTTTTTCTCCCATCTTTCATTGAAGAATTTAGAAGAAACAGCAGTAACTAGAAGAACTTTCAATCTTGTTCGAAATCTTTAAGAATTGAATTAATGAACATTTCGAAAATTTAAGTGGAAAATTATTGAATGAAATGATCAACGATGGGAAAATTTCATTGAACATTGTAGTATTATTAGAGATGGAAATAATCGCGTGTAAATTCTTCTGTTTTTTTCAAATTAGAAAATTACAAGAAAATTAGTTTTTCCTCAATGAAAATTTCTCAGCATAAATTCTGTAAAATTTATTTCACTCTATTTCCCTTCATCTGTCATAAAGAAAAAAACTCAAAATAAAAAACCAGAGATTTGTTCCAATAAATTTTCATAGAAAAAAATTATCAGAATATATTGCATAGAAAAAAAAACTATTCAGTTAATTTCACTGAGTTTTTCGATCTAAAGACGCTTCATTTTCGTGTTTGAAAAATATTATTATTAATTACCATTACTGGTAAAACCAGTTGAACTACAATTAAGTTTAATTCTCTTCTATTACAGTCATGTAATTGGCCTCGACTGTTAGGCTATAAACTCAATGAATAAAATAAAGTAAAATGAATGAAATAAAGGAACTAAAAAAAGAAAGTCTGCAATAAGATAAAACTTTTTCACATACAATCCCATTGATTACCTGTTTGGCATGTCGAGCCCCCTGCAAATGTGCGTCCAGAACAGTCTGACTGGTGAAGCATAGGTCACAATCATTGCACCTAACTAATGGCTTTTTAGTGGGTAAATTACCCATAATATTATCAACAACTGCCTTTGTGACTGGATCATTAAGGGGTGGATCGATGACACCTTCCGGTGGTGCAGCCATTTCCGTTGTGTTCTGTCACCAATAAAAAGAAAAATAGCAATTAAAAATTAATTGTGAATTTCAATGGGTCTCCACAAGCCCCCAAGACACGTAAACACATAAGGTTATCCTTTCTCCCCCATTCATCCTCGTAATCTCCAACTCAACAACGAATGAACCGGTGGGTAGAAACAAAAAAAAACAAACCAAACGAATTCGAGTGCTCAATACTCACAAAACGAAAAATCGCACTAAACTCTGAAATAAATAATCCTCAATGGGAAGAATTAAAATTGTTGAATGGTCATACCTGGAGACAAGGACAGGGGATGAAACTTGAATGTTCCTCGATCGGTGTTCAATTCACTGTGTGCCCCCGAGCGTAATACTTGGTAATACTCAACTTCGGAGAATAATCGTAAAGGCCCTTTCGCAATCAGCCATCAGTCATCGTGCGTTTCATATCGGAAACTGTCGAAACCAATCAAAACTGCCCGATCACTAACCCTCGATCCTGATTGGCCAATGAGCCACGTAAAAAAACGCGCGGTCTTTTCAAATTCATGGTATTTTCGGCTTCCACACATTGTGATGAAAAATAGGATTCGACATTCGTGGGAAAAGTGTTCTTTTACCCTTCGGAGGGCGGCACTTGTCCTCGGCGAGAGCTACAATTTCGCCGGGTAAAAATAGGAGATTATGTTACTAGTGCGTAAAGTTGCACTTTTTCGCACGCACACATACTTTTTTTTATGTATGTCAGAAAAGTACACTTTTTGAAACAGTTGAGAGTGCGTAAAGCGGTTTTTTCCGCATGGCGTGCGTAAAGTTCAAGAGCGTGCGTAAAGTGAATTTCGAATACGAGAATCTCGAATACGAGATCGCATGATCGCGAACTTTACGCACTCGTGCACAAAAACAACCAGTTTACCCCCACCACCGTATCGTCCGAAAAAGTGGAACTTTGCGCACTAGTAACATAATATGCTGTTTTGTGATACTTGCCTCAAAAGTACACTTTTCGAAATGGTTTAGGGGGCGTAAAACGGTTGTTTTCCGTACGTTGTACGTAAAGTGAATTTCGAGTGCGTAAAGCGAAGCCTTACGCACTCGTGCACAAACCGCATTACACCCACTACCGCACTGGCATCGAAATACACTGTTAGTAGTATATTTCGATACTAGACTATTTTCGAAATATACTATTAGTAGCATATTTCGATATGAGTGCGTAAAAGTGTATTTTGCGCTCGCCGAAGGCGAGTGCTCCCCCGCCAAGGCTCAACGGCCACTTTTCTCACGAGTCTCGAACTCCATATTTCATCGCAACATGTAGAAAGTGGGATTTTGCGCACGCGGAGTGTGCGTAAAATTTGACTTTACGTACAAGTGATGAAAAGTGTTTTTTTTACGAGTTAGCCAACCCTTTCCCCACGAGTGTGAAATTCTATTTTTCGTCGCAATGTGTGGAAAGTGGGATTTAGCGCATGCGGCCCCCCTTTTGCGTGTGTAAAATTTCACTTTCCACACAAGTGATGAAAATACGTTTTGTGTCACATCACGGGCGAAACTCACAAATAAACAAAATGAAATATCAGCGCGCGCGCCCGTGTTAATTAGTACGATTGCGAGGCACCAGACAGCGGTCTATGATCCTGGAAAAATCCGGCTGAAAAAATCCACTCCTCCAGAATAATCGCCCATAAAACGCCTTTTCAACGAATCCATTCCTTCATCAGGTCCAAATAAAACCGGAAAACCAAAAATATAAACACTCCTCGAAATTTTCTCCGCATTTCCACAACTTGTCCACCAATCCCTTGTCACTGCCGACGACTCGTCGCGCCCACCGCATTCACCTTAAGCTTTTTCAGCCAATTACACAGTCCCCTCCGACACCAAGCCGTCAATTGGCGTATCCCCACAACAACTCAGAGCTAACAATTTTCCATACTTATATGTATATGCAGACATCAAGAGAAATATAGTAGCAGCCATCTTATATTTTGTGTTGAAAAGAAAAACATTAATTTTAAACAAATGTTACGAATTGTGTCTGTGAATACTGTTTGGGGTGACTAAATGTTTTCGCTCAATGAAGCGTAACTCTTTCAATTCCCCACCTGGACCACTACATTAGCAAAGGTACCGTAGGCCAAGGTATTTTTTTTCACACAATTATGAACCAGCGGTACGGAAAAAATATTGAAAACCGAAAAAAAACAGCAAGTTCGTGCATTTCCAACGATAAAATACCACCCCCGCCTCGTTTTCCCCGTGAAACCTGAAAATAAAGCGGATAAAGTGATCATTCGAGGCGCACAACTGCGTCAAATTACCGTGAAAAGTAGATAAACGTTGTGGAATTGACTGTGCGTGGGGTATCGACATGATTTTTTATCGCGAATAAAACGAAATAGAGAAGCTGGAGGGGGGGCAAGGGGGGCGGCGGGATTGTCAAGTTTTGGCCCGCGGAAAAGTTATGCAATCAGCTGATCGCTTAACATCTACTGTCACTTGTCAAATGAATGTTAAAAGACTAGTTGGGGGCTTTGGGAAAAATGACAATCAGATCTAAACAAACAGACACATGAGCTGCATGTCAGATGATTCGTCGTATATTTGTCGGCGGATTGTAGTCCCACTGAATGAGAAACAATAACCAAAAACAAATAGTAAGTTGACCCACTCCAAAGCCCACTAATTATGACTAGGGAAGATGAGGGCAAAATGAAGTGTTTTTAATCCTTAATTACTCGAGATCGGCAGAGTGAATTTTGACGATTTTTTTTCGTTTTGAAGGTATTTTTTTCTTTTTTAAAATGAGATGTGACTCGTCCGAATCGCTTCGTTCGGTCATGAAATATTGACGATTTATGAAGATTTGTTCTAGCTCATTTAAAATAGAATAAATGTCTAGAGTCGGTGGAAGCATTGAGGAAAATGGCAATTATATCTAAATAAACCCACACATGAGCTGTCGCTAATTATGACTAGGGAAGATCAGGGTAAAACTAGCTGTTTTCCATACTTAATTACTCGAGATCGGCAGAATCACTTATGACGATTTTTTTTAAATTTTGAAAGTATTTTTTTCATTTTTAAAATGAGATTTGACTCGTCCAAATCGCATCATTCGGTCATGATATATTGACGATTTAAGGTTTATCGTAGCTCATCTAAATCAGAATAAATATCTAGACTCGTTGGAAGCATTGGGAAAAATGGCAATCAGATCTAAACTAATAAATTAGCAATATACTTCCTAATGGTTATTTTACACATCATTCCCCTCTATCATGTATAATTTATTGTTTATTTAATTTGATTAAATTGAATGAGATTTATTTTCAACTAATTTTGTCAGATTTTCAACTTAATTGAATGTTATCATCACTATTCTTATTATCCCTTTCTTCAATACGACCGATTGTTTTTTACGGTTCTATCTCTCCCCTCAACCCTTCGATAAAATGTTAATAGAAAAATTTTATTTACACGTGCTTGAATGAATTTAAAACATCACATTAGAAGAAACCATCAGAAAGCTCACTTTCAGGGAAATGCATGAAAGACTCTAAATTTTCAACAATCATCATAAAAATCAAATCAACCAATATAGCTATCGTAATCATCTTTTAACTGCGACTTAATGGCATTGAAACAAACATTTTAAACTACGATTGAATACATTTGAAGCATGATATTCAAAGATATCTCCGGAATTCTGATTTTCAAAAAATACAAAATTTTTTCAAATTTTTAAATAAATCAAAATAACGATTATTGCTATCGCCTTCATCTTCGAATTCAGTCAAAAGGACATCCAAACAAATTTTTTAACCCATCATTCAATCAATTCAGAACATTTTTTTAGTTATCATGGGACAAACGATTTTCGAAAAAAATCGAAAATTAAAAAAACTAACCGATGAATTAAATTTTAATTAAAGGCGATCGATGGGGCTCAACAATACTTATGTTTGAAAAAAAAAGATTCAATTCCATCTATTCATTAGCGAACAATTGAAGAAAAACTTTGTTGCATACGTACACACATACACACACACGTAGGGACGCGGTTTAAAAACTGCATTTTCGAACTTTTTGGATCATACAAAACTTAAATTTGAACGATTACAAAGTTCCCATTCGAAAGCAATAGACTCATTGAAAGCATTGAGACACGCACGAAAAAATTTAATAGAAAAACCTATCGAATTCATTAAAAAATTCTATTGAATTTCTATTAAACTTTCTATTAGTTTTCGGCTGATTCGATTGGCATGTTCAATAGAAAGCATTCAATAGGAAAAGTCAACAGAATTCGATTTTTCTATATAACTTATTATTTTCATATATTTTCTATAGAATTTGCTCGACTCAAATTTTCAAGTTTTTTCCATTCTATTTTTCTGTTCTTCTCATCAAGAAAATCAAACGAAAAAACTTGGAAAATTTAAGCCGAGGAAATTCTATAGAAAATATCTCAATAGAATAAGTTATATAGAAAAATTGAATTCGATTGACTTTTTCTACTCAATATTTTCTATTGAACATTTCAATAGAATCGGCCAAAATCTAATAAAACAGTTCAATAGAAATTCAATAGAATTTTCTAACGAATTCGATAGGTTTTTCTATTAAATTTTTTCGACCGTGGAAAAATGTCAATTATATCTAAAACACCGATACATGGTCATATATTAATCTTAAAATTCTAGTCTCACTGAAACAATAACCAAAAACAAATTAGTAAGTTGGTCCCCTCCAAAGCCACTAATAGACCTCTTCGCCCTGAGAGTCACTACATTTTCGGACACTTCTTCGCATGTTAAACAATATCACCGATAATGATCTTAAATAAATCAATGTTACCATAAATCTCAAAATTTTTCAAAATTTTTTGCTCATTTTCCCAAAAAGTGAAAACTCCACTTTGATAACCGGAATAAGCATTTCCCTAGATTTCCGTAATGAAAACACCTATCATGACAAGAGTAAACGAAAGTAAACCGAGCAGTGGTCAGCCCCCAATTCCTCAACACGATCAGCTCGAATTTGCCCATTCCTTTCAATTTCGACTGCCTCTTTTCAATCTTCAAACCGCCGCCTGCCGAAACACGGCTCCAAATATCAGTCCCTCTCCCTCAGGCAAAAGCGACTGAAACCCAAAATGAAAAAATGTTTGCACAGGTGGATTGGTACGCAGGATATGAGCAGTTTGTCAAGCGCAATCTGACTCTGCTCCCCCACCAGGACCCAGTACAGCAGCCCCAAGTGCTGCCCCAGCCCCAGCACCCTGACATTATGACGTCAATGTTCGACCAGCAAATCAAGAGTGAACCAATGGGATTTTATTCAGTAGCCTCATCGCGCTCAGACGGTTCGAATTCAATGGTCAATTTGTCTGACGATCGTGAGGATTTATCGCAGCAGGAGGAGCACATACAGAGTCAACAGACGATGCATCAGCAGCAGCAGCAGCAGCAGCAGGCGAACCCCCAGCAGCAGCAGCAACAGCAGCAGCAGCAGGTGAACCCCCAGAGTCAGCCTGCAGTGCAGAACGTCCCCCACAACGGGCCCTCGCGCCAGTCGACAGGCCAGCAGACAGTGAAAGAGGGCAGTCGATCAAAGCCCCAGCCCTGCAAAGTCTGCGGCAAAGTCCTCTCCTCAGCCTCGTCCTACTACGTACACATGAAATTACACTCTGGCAACAAGCCCTATCACTGCACAGTGTGTGAGGCAAGTTTCTGCCGAAAGCCATACCTCGAGGTGCACATGAGAACGCACACCGGTGAGCGTCCATTTCAGTGTGAATTATGCCTGAAAAGATTCACCCAGAAGAGCAGTTTAAATACTCACAAACGTGTGCACACAGGTGAACGTCCATACGCCTGTGACATATGTCAAAAGCGTTTTGCTGTTAAATCATACGTAACAGCACACCGCTGGAGTCACGTCGCTGAAAAACCCCTTGTTTGTGATCGTTGCTCATTGACATTTACATCGAAGAGCCAATTTGCCATACACATTCGTACACACACAGCATCAACAACGTACGAGTGTAATATATGTGGACGTACATTTGTACGCGATAGTTACTTGATACGCCATCAGAATCGTGTGCATCGTGATATGAATCAGAGTAATGCCAATCACAATCCATCAACGCCACAGAGCAGTGGTGGACAGACACCTGGCACTGGATTTGAGAGTCCTGTTTGTGATTTACGTTACAATGAGGGACCATCGTCGTTGGATGGCCTCGGTGGTGGCAAAAGTATTGCTGTTGAAATAGCGAGTTTAGGAAAACAAAATAGCCTACAGCTACCAGTGCCACTTTTGCATCCACAAACAACTAACTAGTGTTTAAACGGCAGTGAAAATCAGTCTCTGCCGTTACAACAATCGTCACCGCAGCTAGCTGTTTGTCAGTCATCAGCGTCATCACCTTATAATGTTAGTTCACCGTTGCAGCAAGATCAAACGACAACGCAGAGTGTTTATCAGGGATCCCATGAGTCGTCTGGATCTATTGACAGTCCAGAGTCACGTTATTCACATTTGGAACAGGTGGAGCATGAGTCACAGCAGCATCAGATTTATCATGAACATCGTGGAATACCACCACCTGGACTACATCCAGCACTTTATCTGTATGCTCAGTACACTAATACGAGTACTACCATTAATTATCCCGAGTATATTCAACGCAACAACTAGGAGAACTATTTTATTGTCGAGGAGTTTTCGGGAACGTGGGTAGGCGTTTTTATGCTGGCAGCGGTAAGGGCTTTGAGTTTTTGGGTTTATTGGTCAGTTGAGCTTTTTTATTTGGAGGAATATGTGTTGGAGAGAACTTGGCGACTTTGATGGAAAATTCTAGGGAACTTCGATTAGTTTTTGGCGATTAGGTTTTGATTAGGGGAGGGTAGGGTAAAATGGACACTTTAGACTTTTTTAAAGTTATTCATAACTCAGAAACAAATGTAACAATAGAACTCAGTTTAGGCTCATCACAAAGGGAAAGAATTGTTCTTTGTATTGAAAAAAAAATTATTAAATTTCATCAACATTTCAACCCGTCACTAATATTTAAAAAAAAGTCAAAAGTGTCCATTTTACCCCAACCTCCCGTATATTGGAAAATTCTGTTTTTTTTAGTAGAAATGTTCAGCAGAATTTTATTTTTTTGGACAATTTATTCTATTGTGATATTTCTGCAGAAATTTCTCTACTCAGTTTCCTGTTTTTTTTTTTTTTAATGAAAAAGCAGAAAAATTGAGTGAAAAATGTTTGGGAATTTCATGGTGAGGGATTCATATAGGACATGTATATTTTTTTAGGAAATTCGTCTTGCCAAATTCATCTGAGTTTTTTAATTTTCACGAATAAATTTCGGGGAAGAATTCAGCGATTTCGATGGAAAATTCTATTGAACTTCTGGGGATCTTTCTGTTAGTTTTGGGCCGATTTCATTGGAAAATTTTGTCTTTAGTTTCAACAAAAATATTTGATAGAATTTGATTTTTTGTGCAACTGATTCAATTGACATTTTTCTATAGAAATTCGTCCACTCAATTTTTTCTATTGTTTTATTCAATTAAAAGAGCAGAAAAATTGAGGGAATTTCATGTTGAGGAATTCCTATAGCAAATGTATAAAAAAATGAAATTCTTCGGTTTTTTTCTATGAAATAATGTATCTTAGACTTTTATAAATAGAATCAATTACAAACTAATAGAATTTTCTATCAAATTAATTCTACCAAATTGATTTGACGTTTTAAATGTCTAAGAATAAATTTCAGTGAAGAAGCTAGCGACTTCGATAGAAAATTCTATTTTTTTCCAATAGAAGTGTTCAATAGAACTCGATTTTTCTATGCAACTTATTCTATTTCTATTCTATATTCTATTTGCAAAAATTCCTCGACATTTCCTCTGTTTTTTTTCAACAACAAAAAAAAATATTGGAGAATCGAAAAAAAAGTGATTACAATGCTTCCATTCGGAAGCAAAAACAGAAAAATTGAATGAAAAAATTTTGAAAATTTCATGTTGAGGAATTCCTATCGAAAATGTTGTATAAAAAGATGAAATTCTACTGATTTTCTCTATGCAATAATTTATCTTAGACAGTTACAAACAGAATCGTTCAAAAACTAATAGAATTTTCTCTCAACTTCGTTACCTTTTTCAGTGAATTTTTTTCTCTTCCGAATTCTTGTTTCAAAAGCATATTCAGAGACGAGGGACAAGAAAGTATAAATGCCAGCATAAAAACCGGTATTCCAAAATCTCTACGTATGTTTTTCTCTCAAAAACACGACAACTCTTGTTTTTGTTCTCTTTATTTTTTTTCTATAAAATACATACGAGTATGTATAACGCGATCATCACACCCATATTTATGTTATATTTTTAAAGGAGTTCTTAGTCACTTGGATCTGTGATATAGATAGTAATTATTATCAGCAAAGTTTTAATATTGGTTTAACTATTTCGATATCAAACGAAGAAAAAGGAAAAATTATAACGAAAAAAAAAATGAGAAAAAGTGAAAATAAAAAGCGTAAAAAAATATATTAGCAGAGCAATGTCATGGAGATACAGAGTGAACAGAGTGGTCTCTACTTGTGGTTTTTACCCTTTGTCTGGTAGCCACACGAATATTATTACTAATTACGCAATAATGAAGAACAGAAACGAAGAATATGAGAGAGGATATTTTCACGAGTGATAACACGATACTTTTATTCACATTTTCATCGCCATTTGACATCAGAGAAGAAACATCATTTAGTCTTGGGTAATAAACTCCTACTAATGCTATTCATTATCATACTGCTCCTCTAGTACTAGCAATGGTACTGTTAATTATCATTAGCTGCTCTATTAAATGATGAAAATACTAGGTAATCTGTAACTATTCTGCTAACAATTAGTATGCTCACAATCTGCGACTAAAAGGAAATAAAGAGGAACAGTGGAAGGACGAAATTAATGGTTTATCCGAGTGACGTGCCATGCGGGCCCAATATAAATAGGCGTCATGATTTCTCGAGTGTTTGAATCAAATTCAACTTTTTTCGTATTGAAATCAGTAACGAAACGGTAAAACGATTGGCTCTCAGCTGATGATTCATCTGCTGAAACTCAATAAAAATTAAGCCCCGGGTGGACTATCTTTCAAATGTGATCTTGCTTGTTTTTTTTTTATTTTCATAATCTGAAATGATCTCCAATTGCTATTCAGTTTTGTGGAGCCCTGGAATCTCCAAAAATAATGATTGTACAATCAAAAAAACGTTGACAAAAAGCTGAACATTTTCAGAAAGCGTTTTTGAATAATATTGGCACGGACAACAAAATTTAATAGAAAAACCTATCGAATTCATTAGAAAATTCAATCGAATTTCCTCGGCTCAAATTTTCTAAGTTTTTTCATTTGATTTTCTTGATGAGAAGAAAAGAAAAATAGAATGAGAAAAACTTGGAAAATTTGAGTCGAGCAAATTCTATAGAATATATATGAAAAGAATAAGTTGTATAGAAAAATCGAATTCTGTTGACTTTTTCTATTGAATGTTTTCTATTGAACATGTCAATAGAATCAGGCAAAAACTAATGGAAAGTTTAATAGAAATTCAATAGAATTTTCTAACGAATTCGATACGTTTTTCTATTAAAATTTTTCGTGAGTGGGGAAATAAAGGGAATAGGGAGGAAATTGTAAATTAATAATTTGATGTATCTAATGGCTGTTAGGTCGTCATTCGTCACAGTAGTCAATGGCTGTCAGATCGTTAGTTACCATGATAAATTATCCATTCACTATTTCCTCTCTATCGGACTTATTTCTTAATCTTTATTAAAAACGGTTTTGATAATGTTCAGTTTTTTTCTACTTTTCTTAATTGTACAATCATAATTTTTAGGGATTCCTGCGGGATGTAAAATCCAATGGAAATTGTGATGTATTTTACATTATGAAGATGGAAAAAACAATCGAGATAACGTTTGAAAGATGATCCATCCGGGCCTTAAGGGGAAACGGAACCCCTGTGTCTATATGAACTTTTAGAATTGTGATTTCTCTTACAATTATTCCCTTTTATCTATGAAACTTGTTTATAGACTCGATCATTGCATTGTTGAGTTAATGAAGTAGTTTCGTAAATAAAAAATAATAATTGCAGGAGAAAAGACAATTCTAAAAGATCATACAGACACAGGGGTTCCGTTTCCCTTTAAAATAAAAAATAGGCGGCAATGTTAGAAATATTTCTTTAGTGCTTGAAATTTCAGATTAACATCCTTCAATGAAATTTGTTTATTTAAAATTCATTAAATGAACGGATTTTCTATTCTGTTTTTTTATTCGGCGTCGTGTAGGATTTATTTTTTCATTGATGATTCATTTACTGAAACTGAATAAAAATTAAAAATAAAGGGAAATGTTAAAATATATTAAATTCAATTCGGGTCAGTGGATCAAAATTTTCATCAGCATAAGAAGATGACACTTTCGAACAGTTAAAAATGAATATTTTTTTTTAGTTCTGTAAAGGGCTAAAACAAGCAGTAAATTATCAAAAATTAACGAAAAATTAATTCAGTTTTTTCATGAAATAAGAAAGAATGAAATATAAATTTTCTTGTTTATTTTCACAATTTCATTGCTCTTTCTATATTACAGAGGCTCACTGCGATTTTTATCTGCGAGAAAATTACAAATTAGTTGAGAAATTTCATTGATAAAATTAATTGAGAATACCTGGATGATCTGTTGTGCCTGTAACAGGCCTGTTATCGATAAATGAAGAAATGTAGAAACTATCAAGTCCTCATCACCCGATTTTCGTCCTAATAATTTCATAATTTGAATCAACCCGAGAAATCATGACTTGTACATTTATAGTTTAATGCTTATTGACATTGCGGTTAACTACTCAGTAGTCACGTCGGTGGAGTCACCGAACAACAAATTGAACGTTTTTTTTATTCATTTCAATTACACTGTTAAGACGTGAATAATTCTTCAGTCGTGTTTTTTTGTTTTGGTTTTTAAATATTCTCGTAATTGAAGAAATGGAGGAAATTAAGTTTGCGATATGCGCGCATATGCCTGGGACTTTCAATTCCATATGATACCAAGTCATCGGGTAAGACTGATTATCATAACGGACTAATTTGATGAGTAGAGAGGGAAGAGATCGGGAGATGGATGAGGAACACTATATTTATGTGTTTTGACGTGAAATGGAGGGAATGAAAAATCACCGATCTTTATTATTATTGGCTAGTCATTGTGCGCGGCTCTATGAGATAAATGTAACTTCAAAGCTGTGATTTAAAGTCTCTGTGCATATGCGCTAATCCTACGTAGTTAATGACACGCTTTTTGAGGGCAAGGGCCTGGAGAATTTTTATCTAAATTTTTAGCTGTTCAGATGTTTTTTTAATGATTGCGTTGAAGTGAGTTGAGCAACTTCATATTTTTTCGGCGTGGAATGACATGTGGAGTAAGTTCCTGATTTTTCTTGTTTGTTTTTTGTACATTCATGGGTTTTCGTGTTGTTCAGGGCAATTTTTATTCGAAGCAAATTGTTTATTTATTATAATTGAATTCGTTTTCTGCATGAGATGGAAAAAATGAAACAGGATTTTTGGCTTTTTATTACTGAAGCTCATTGCGATTTTTGGTCGATGAAAATTGTTCATTATTTGAGACATTTTATTGAAGTGAAACAAACAGTAAACTATTAAAAATTTACGAAAAATGAATTCGTTTTTTGTATAAACTATAAACTACTAAGTAATAAAATACAAAACTTCTCGTTTATTTCCATAAGTTCATTGTTCTTTTTTTATTACAGAGGCTTAGAATTTTTATCTGCAAGAAAATTATAAATTAGTTGAAAACATTAGTTGTTCCATTGAATTAAAATGAGCAATCTCAGCTTGAAATCTCTCCTGTTTCCTCTGTGAAATAATAAGAACGTAATATAGATCCGGAATTTCCTGATTATTTTCGTAAATAATTCGTAAATAAATTTCCTAAATAATAAATCTATTATTCAAAAATTGCAGAGGGCTGAAACAAACGGTAAATCATCAAAAATTAAGGAAACAATATACCCTAGAGTGAATAAAAAATATATTTATTTTTAATCCCCGGTGATGTAGCTAGAGCCACAGAATCCCCTTTCGCCATCTAATTGCTCCGAATTTTGTTATTTCGAGGCTTTTTTTCGTTACCTCGAGCGCCAAGGTTGTACATAATTTGAGGTGCAAATTTTTTACGAGTGAAAAAATATGAACAAGGTTCACCATAATTCGTAATGTAGTGGATTGTGTTGTGTTTTCATACGCGAAATGTTAACATTTTTTAATGGCACTAAAACTCATTCAAACGTGTTTTTTTACACCGCTGATTTGCAGTGGACGTTGTAAAATTGCTGGGATGTTCCAATATTTTCCTCATTTGACACTCCACCATCATGTACGATACAATGCACTTAGGAAGAACAGTCCATAATTGAAAAAAAACAACACAGTAATCACGAGTTGATCTTGAAATAAGAGAGAATGGGAGCTCCAGATGTGAAATTGAAGCCTGTATTGACTACCCAATGGTCGAACTGATGAAGAAAAAAATGTAATGAGATGTTTGCATGACTGAATCAAAAGCTATCGAACCAAAAACTGAAAAAAATCATTTCACTCTACTAATTCCACAATACTCACCTTAAATCACAAAAAAATTTCATGGACCATGTCATTACATCTGATTCTCGTCGGCAAATTGAAATAGAGATTCATGGAATATCGAGCGAGGTTGAGCCCAGAACTACAGAGCAAAACTGAGGAATAAAAACCGACAAAAACAAAAAAAATAATACTAAAAATAATAAAAAAAACCTAAAACAATGTCCGCGTCGCTAGACATTGCGCCTGTACCATTTTGCTTCGTTAGCAGAGTACGATGCCATTTATTTTTATAATACGTTTACGTAGGAATAGTTCTTATTTTTATATAGAAAGGTTTACCGTGCTACCGTAAGTCTTAGAAGGCCTGCGTATGGTAGATTATTAGGTGAGATGAGTAATTAAATGAAAAATGCAAGAAACAAAAAATGAAAAAACCGAGGGCCCGTTAAATATAATAAATACAATTGACTCGTTTCCGCATAGTTGAATTATACCTGTGAGATAAATTTTTACCAAACAGAAGTATCATTATCTGTTAGCGCCTCATCTAGTCTATTTGTATAAAAACCAATAGTTTTTCTTTTCACGTGAAATAAAACTGATATAAGACAATAGTGCTGAATGCGGAGACGAGTGATTATTCATTAAGGGCCCTCTGGAGTGAAAATCATGTGCTGTAATTGGAGAAAAACTTTGCGACGTGAATTCTGAGTCGAGAGGGGACGGAAAAATCTGAAATTTGGCTTTAAAAATTTGTTCTTTTGGTAAAAACTGGATGGAGTGAGTTGAGGGTGATCTGAAGAATGTAAATCATTCTAAAAGATGTTTGAGAACACGAGGTGGGGGCGCCGCCATCTTTAAAGCCCTTTCCAGCAGAGGGAGGCCGAAGTTTCATAGAAAAACTTTGAGAATTCGTTGGAAAATTGTAAAGATTAACTCATTTGCGAGTTTATTTTTTAATGGAAATTATTCTATAGAAAAAATCAATAAAAATCCCATGGTTTTTTTCAAATGAAAAAAGTGAACTTTTTTCATTTGAAAAAAGCAAGCAATAAAAAATTCATGAAAAGACAAAATTATACGGATTTTTTCTATAAAATCTTTTTTATTGGACATTTTCTTAAAAAAAACAGCAAAGCGGAATTTCCTATTCCATTCGCTAGATTTCTATGAAATCGCTTCGCACGTGAGCAACATGGTGGCTCCACTCGTCCTTCACCTCGCGTTTTAAAACATTCCTTTAACTTATTCATCTTCCCCAGAAGGCCTTCAGCTCATTTCACCCAGTTCTTTAAAGAGGAACAATTTTTTCCAGCCATCCTTCAATTTTTTCACCCCCTTTCGACAGAGAATGCGTGTCGCAAAGTTTTCCCCGCCCTTCAGTACTTACTTTACTCCCGAGGCCTCTTAAAATCCGTGTGCGTTGATGTTGACAGTTAAAATAATGAACAAATAACTCGGAAATTTTTTCATTTCTGAATAGCAGAGGGTGCCATTGGGCTGGTGATAAATCGTTCCCATCAATTAGCTAACTAATCACGATTTATCACCACGCGAAATGATATATACATATATGTTAAATACCGATTTAACGCTGTAGACAAACTAATTCGTAGTAAATACGAATGTACACGGTTATCGCGCCGGATTTATCTCGTAATAAACAAGAGTAAAACAAATAAATATACATAACCGACTTGAAAATATTAACGAAATGTTGAATAAATAAGTGATGAAATCATAGCCATAATGACGAACTCATTCGCAAGAGTGAATTCAGAGAGATATCTAAACTCGACGATTAAATATTATAAAAAAAATAAATCATCAGTGAAAGAAACGTAGGAAATAGATCACGCGACATTAATGAATGTACCTATACAGAAAAGAAGCATGAGATACACTTTTGTAATAGCAGTTTCAAACAAAGCAAATATATATTAATATTAATGATAATAAAGTGAAGAAGAAATAAAATGAAATCGACGCTTTGACACTGCTCTCACCGACATATCCTGGCTAACACATCCTTACGTACATACTGCATTACATTATAGGGATAATACATGTTCTAATAGGGTCTCTATGTGTGAACTATATCCCCTGAGTAAAACAAAAGAAAAAAACTATATATATATATAAATATATGAGATTGAGGAGATACAATACCAATTGTAAGGCAAGTATGTACTGTACATAGCTGTCACTGACTTTCCTGTGAGAAAACCCCTCCCCCTCTCAAATCATATGAAATACTATACATGGAAATTTTCATCGTACTGCGAAGAACATTAACCACTGTTGTAATAATTATAAATTATCAATTGCTACAAGAACGAGGATAAAACCAATAAGATAATGCTAACGTATACTTTTAAATAGTGAATAAGCTTACCATTTAGTGGAAGTAGAGCCTCACTTTCAGCACTGTTTTTTGAAAAAAAAAATGAGAAAATAGGGAATGAAATCAATATTTTATCATCAAAAAATATGGAAAAAATGAATAAATAATTGGATTCTACCTCAATCCTGTAATGAAAAAAGTACAGTTATCATATTCCAGTGGGAAGTACAGAGAATAACGAGGATTTTATTTTTATTTCATGTTACTTACAATGATACTTCACATTGGCTGTCATTCTCTGGCCTGCAGTGACATCAAACTGTGATAATTTTAATGTCTTATGTTAATGTGTTGTTAATACTCTGTTAGTGATGGATTAGAATGCAAAATATTTTCCATCAACTGCAGCTCGACTCTTTACTTTTAGATCATCAGAGCTCAGTTTGATCTTCCATGGAGCTTATTTCAATGATATTCTTCTTTCAGTATACGTTGAATTGTGATGTTAGATTAAGGAATATGTTTTAATCCAAATCTAATGGATTTTCGTTGACGTCGCTGCAGCTCAGAGTGCTAGTGTGAAGTGTTGGCGATTGATGGATTGATATTCATTCAATACCTCGCCTGAAAGGGAAATCATCATGTCGAAATGAGTGATAGATTTGTAGAGACGATATCTCCACTAAAATGTTTGGAACAAGGAATGGAAATGGTTCAAATATACCAGCAATAAAACTGTACATTGTGGGAGATCGATCAAGCTACAATGTAGTTTGTGTCGATATATCACGGATAGAAGATTAAACACTCGTGTATTAAAGTAGAATTATGGAACAAATAGAATACGATTGATACCCCAAACAACTTTTTTCTTGTGGAATTGGTATGAAATATTTATTACCCTTGATCTTACAGGTTTTTGTAGAATTATACATTTGGAGGATTTTTGCGTGGATACGTCTAAATGCTGAGGAGGTTTAATACTTTTAATACTTCGGCAGTCGTCTGGGGTTTAGAGAAGCTGAATAAGTGAACAGGCATCGGCATCAATCATGAGATTGTTAATGTTATGACAAGTTACACGTTAAAATAATTTATTTATTCATTTATTTATTGCTGTATGCAGACTCAACAGCCCAGACGCCAATTATAGTTAAAAGAACATATTAGACATATATTAAAATATATAAAATATATTAAAATATGTAAATCGAGATGAAGATGATAAGATCAGATGCAGAAAAATTGAGAAAAATTTTGAGGTGTGGATAATTGAAGTTTACTAATCTTCACTGAAATTTGAAAAGAATAAAATAATCGAGGATCTGAATTTTCATTGACTATGAATTAAATAATTCATAAGATGGGATTGTTGGGTGTTGAATAAATAATTTTAAAATTCATAAAAGGGAGTTTCGGTTAGACGAATGTTTAATTGATGATTAATTTAATTATTAAAAAATTGTTGAGGAATACTAACTAATTGATTAATTAAAAAAATCATTTTGTTTAAAGTTCGTGATTATGCCGATGTCTAATAAAAAGGAGAAGAAAGGAATTGAATAGTTGAGAGCTTCAAGAATTTTAAATTTTTGTTATAAAGATTCTAGGAAAGTCTGTGATTTAAAAAAAATGAAACTCCAGAGAATTTTTTATTTGAGAAGTAGAACCATTTCTTGAATCTCTCATCTAGAAAATTCTATAATTTTTTTGGAATGTTTTTAGGTTCTGGGATTTTTCCAAATTAGAGCACAATTCAAGTTTTAAAACTTTGCAACATTTTGTTATTCGAAAAGTTTAAGAATTTCTGAAATTTTTTCCTCCAAAAAAATTATGAATTAATTGATTCATGATTTAAATAATTTAAATTTAATTAATTCATAATTTAACAAATGGAACAATATCTTGAATATTTCCCTTCAAAATTTTAAAATTCTTCTAAAATTTCTATAATTTTTCTTGTAATTCTAAAATTTGGGAAAATTAATGGATGATTAAATTTTCAAACTTCTTTCAAAATCTCAAAAATTTTAGAAAAAATTTCAGTTTCCCGAAAAATCCAAGAATTTGTGAAAACGAATTCTAGAAACAAAGAACTCGACTTGTTTCTCCAGAAAATTCTCCATCATTCTTCCGACAGTTCTGACAATCATAAAATTATTAAGACGATCAACACAAGAACTTCTGAAACTGAAAAATTTGAAGAACTCTGGACAGATTCCTCAGAAAACCCAAATAAACTTCAATCCATGCCCTACACTTTAGAATTGTTCCCTCGAAATTTCCAATTCTAGACGTGTCCACTCAAAAAAAATTTATTCCATCTCAACATCGACAATAGCATCCTCGACGACAACCTGTTCAGTGCAAGCAGGTACTTGCATCGTAGGCAGTGGATCTGGTGATTTAAAGTACAAGTTACTAGCTGAATGCACTTTGAGATATTCACCCCCCATTTCCTCATACTCCTGTCGTGTCACCAAGAATTCTGGCAGATTGTCACTCAGTCCAAAATTCCTCGCCCCATACCAAGGATCCAGTGCTGCATTCTCCGCTATGGAAATCCTGAAGCTCGTGCCGAAAGGCCTTATCTCCCTCAGTTCACGTTTCAGACGTTCGAGTAGTCCAGGCAATTTAGCTGGGCCCCCAGTCAAAAATACATTGCTCACAAGCCGTGATTGCATGTCTTCTGGGTACAGTTTAAGGACGAAATCGATGGTCTCGGCTATCCCAGCCTCGACAGATCCGATCATTGCGGGTTGAAACACCAATTCAGGGGATCGAAGACGCTCGAGGGCCACATGAAGCTGGTGAGTCTCCCCTGGAACCAGAGGTACATTCACTCCAGCACCCTCGAACTCTGGATCGTGCTGGCGGAGGACATTCTCTAGCTCCAAGAGACGTTCCTGCTCCAGTTCTGAATCTGAATCTCCACCTTCCTGAAAATTCAATCAATTTAAAGATCATCTAATTCCGAAAAATAATGAATACTTCGCTATTGGCTGTGGTTTTTGGTTTATCATCGGGAATAGCTAAAGTAAGCCAATTATAATTAATTTATAGCATTTAAAACCACTTATTAACAGGAAAAAAAATTTCTGAAGACAAAATTTCAGACATTCTCCAACTTTTTTAATGGGGAAATTGGGAAATGTTTCTAGAATTTTTTGGATAGTTGGCATTTTTTTTTATTTTTTGGAATGTAGAAATTTTTTTGAAAATTCAATCATGCTCGAACTTTTAAAAAATATTGAAATTTTCAGGAAAATTAATGAATTTTCTGGAGAACAAATTCAGGTAGTTGTTCTATTTTTCAGATAATGACTTTTTTAGAGTTTTTACAAGGATATCCTCCTCTACACTTTTCTGAATATTCAATCGATTTGAAAATTAATTTTTAATTGCAAAAAAAAATGAATATTCAGTTGTCGAAAAAAATGAAACGACTGATTATTTTGTAAATTAGATCTCTCACTGACGATTGACAAAAACATAATTTTTTTCATCAATATTTAAGAAATATTACAGAAAGTAATGATTAATGCAGATCGCTTTTCATTCGATTTGTTAAACCATTGTAAACTAACCCTGTTGATGACTTTATACACATCCCAATCTTCGTCACGCATGCCAAAGTCATCATCACGTTTTTCCTTTTTCGCTAATTGGCTTATTATCCTCATCCTCTCCTGAGCTGCAGCTGTCCTTCGTTTCGCCATGTCTTGACGACGTTGGCGTTTTGCTAATCTCCTTTCCACGATTTCTTGCCTGCAAATGATAGTTTTATTAATTTATATTACGTTTATGTCCAATAATAAATAAGCCTATATTTACTTCGACAAAAAAATTTAATTATATGAAATTAATGAAACATTAATTCCAAATAAATTCATTCTCTTCATCAACTAACCAACAATTTCATCTCTAATTAATAAACTCTTCAAACCTTAAACTCGTTAAACTCTTTTCGTGAACAAAAACGCAAACAGAAATCAAGTTTAAATTGAAATAGAATCCCTACTACAACCTTCACAAAAAACCCCATTCATTCTACTCAAATAAAAAACATTCTTCAATGTTTTCTCTTAATTATTCACCCCAAAACGCTGATTCATTAACAGTACCATTACCTCTTCTTCTTAACCCCCGCAATCCACTCATCAAAATCCTGTGAGTCCTTTGGCTGCAGACTACTCTTAATCTTCGGTTTCTCCTCAATAATAACGTTTTCCTCCTGCGAATTAGCAGCCACAATTTTCTGCTTCGTCTTCTCGATCTTCGCCTGAAGATTGTTAATCATCTTCATCAACTCAGCTTCATTCGCCAAGTTGTAGGATTTCAGGGCTTGCTCGAACTCTTCAGTCTCCCCCTCCTCCAGAAAATCCTGGATCGATAAGAACTGATTCAATTGCTCTTCGTCCTCCGCCAGTCTCTCCTCCCTCTTCCTCGCGTTGATCTCCATGAGTCTCCTCGCTAGCTCCCGCTTCCTCTCCTTCTGCTGCTCAACAGTCAACCCAGGAGTCGTCGTGGGCGCCACATAAGGAAGCTGCACCCTCAGGACGTTGCTGTCGTAGTAATCGACGTCCCCCCATTTTTTAATTTCGTCCTGGTAGTCCAGAGCTATACTCGAGTGATCGTGGATCAGCTCCTCAGCTCTGCTGGGCGTTATCGCATTCACGTGGACTGGGTATTTCAGCTGCAACAGCCTGTGCATGTACGAAGTTATGTGGAATCCCCCCACGTTGATCCTCCTTGCGTTCTTGGGATCGACTCTTCCATCGAGGACTGGAATTATCTGAGTCGCGTGGTAGCCGAAGCTTACGATCAGCCCATCAGGGGGACAATTGTTGTGGTGATACGAGAATAAACAGTCTACTCCGTAGGCTATCGAGGGGACGTTGTAACATTCGAACAAAAGCTCTGTCATCACTGGAGAATTAATGAGAGAATTTGCGGATAAATTATTTGACATTATTTTGTTTTCTGCAATAGGGTTTTCCCCAATTTTCCTATTCACTTCTTTCACATAACCCACAGATAGCTAAACGTAATGAATTATGTGCAGATATTGCCTAGATATTTTGTAACAAGTGATTGCAAATCATACGATTTTGAAACCTCGTTTCAATTCGTTTAGTTTTTTTAATACATTTTTTTATACCTGTGAAGATCGAAACTTGAGATTAAAAAATGAAAAAAATCCCGCAAGTTGCCTATTCTCAAATACTAAAATAATTTAGCATCTATTGAAGTGTAAAAATTGATTACAAAAGGTTGTAATCAAAATAAGTTGATGAGATTGTTACATTTCTGGAATAATTTAGAATGAATATCATTCGTTTGGTAGTCATTGACAAAAAGGAAGATTTGTGCATTTATCTCGAGAATAGGTGATTTTATAAGGAAATATTTGTAGACATTTTTTAAAGCTCTGAGAATTAAGTATAGAAACTATTCTCTTGAATTTTTTCCTGCAACTATTCATTATTAAAATAATGCAACATTTAGTGAAGGGTAAAAGGCCTTTGTAACTGGAATGAGTTGATGATTCCATTCGGACAAATTCTGAAATAATTTGGATTCGTAACACCTCTATCGCAATAGTAGAATAATTGTAAGCCCATGTCATAATTATAAGTGACTATTGTTCATAATGATGAATATTTTTCCGATGCTGATTAAAAATTTGAGAGGAAATTCAGATTCATCTCGAGCACAAGAGATGTTAAAAGAGAATGTCAAGAGTATACAGGGTATCTCTTGAAATTCTTCCCACAACTGTTCATAACTGAAGTTCAATGAAATAAGTTGATGAATAGATTCTCACAATTTCTGGAATAATTTGGATTGAGGAAAGCCTCAGTCAGAATGATCGGATGATTGACAGAGCCCTCGGTGTCGATCCCCATGTGAGTAAATGTGTAATCAAATATCTGCTCCTGTGCTTCGAAATGCGTCACGACATTCCTGTCGAACTGCGTTTTGAGCTGAAATCGTACAGCTTCGATATTCACAATGTCATTCCCGATCTGGAGCTCGCCGTCTTTTTTACCCCGCTCCTTTCGTGGTTTCGCTATGAGGTTTTTGAAGATCAGTTGGGGCTCGTTCTCGGTCGCCCAACCTACTCGGCAGCTATAGGACCCTGGAGAAATATTAATTCATTCCAGAAGATCACGCACGAAAAAATTTAATAGCAAAACCTATCGAATTCGTTAGAAAATTCTATTGAATTTCTATTAAACTTTCTATTAGTTTTTGGCTGATTCTATTGACATGTTCAACAGAAAATATACAATAGAAAAAGTCAACAGAATTTGATTTTTCTATATGACTTATTCTTTTCATATATTTTCTATAGAATTCGCTCGACTCAAATTTTCTAAGTTTTTTTCATTCTATTTTTCGTTTCTTCTCATCAAGAAAATCAAACGAAAAAACTTAGAAAATTTGAGCCGAGAAAATTCTATAGAAAATATCATTTACACAAATAACATTTCAATAGAATCGGCCGAAAACAAATAGAACAACAACAGTTCAATAGAATTTTCTAACTAATTCGATGGGGTGGGGTTTTCTATTAAATTTTTACGTCCGTGATCTTGAGAGAGGGTGAAGAAAATGTAAGCGAAATTTATCTAAGATTCATCTTTCGACGTTTCGCTAAGTATTTTAGCTTTAACAGGGTTTAGAAAAAAATAAATAGAATAAAAATGAATAAACACAAGAAAAAATTTAATAGAAAAACCTATCGAATCCGTTAGACAATTCTATTGAATTTTCTATTAGATTTAGCTTGATTTTATTGAACTGCAAATAATATATGCGTATAAATGAATAATATCAAATAATATTTTTATTATTATATTATAATAAATAAATATTCTATAGAATTTCCTCGGCTCAAATTTTTTCTCATTCTTTTTTTCTTTTATTTTCATCAAGAAAATCAAATAAAATAAGTTTGAAAAATTTGAGCCGAGGAAATTCCATAGAAAATATCTAAATACAATAAATTATATAGAAAAATCAAATTTTATTGAATTTTCGTAGAGAATCGTTTCTATTTAACATTTCAATGGAATCAGCCTCAAAACTACTGGCAAGTTCGATAGAATTGTTTAGCGAATTCGTTAGATTCTTCTATAAAAATTTTTCATACGTGTATTTAGTTTTTTTTATTTCAATGAGTTATTTATCCACAGCCTGATGAAGCTAAAATAATTAGCGAAACGTTGTGACGTGGCAATTAAATAAATATTGTTCTCATGTTCCTCAACATTTTTTGCAATTTTTTGGATACGTAACGACAATAAGTAATTCTTCCACTTTTTCTATTTCTGGTCTTTTCATCTCCTTATTTTCGCAGAAACCAGTGGGAAATCTCGATTTTTATTCAATAATTTAGGACGTGATTGTCATGCTTACCATTGTCAATGACTAGTGGAGTTGCTTCACTCTTGACATTTTCAGAATACACGTGAACAATATCAGGCACAGCTTTGATGTCTTTCAACTCAAGAATATCCATTATTATTTTATATTATTGTTTGATGGAGAAACTCTTGTAGAAATGAATTATAAAGAGATGATTTTTGTTGACAATCGGTATTGTAATCCTATTTTTGGTTATGTTTTTGAGTTTCCCCGCGGCGCTGCCCTCGTGTGACGTAGTAGACAGACTGATCACAGATAAGCAGATGATTCAGAAAAAAACTAGAAGGGCATCTGTAATAAACATAAGTCGTTTCTTTTTCCACAGTAGACAAGGTGAGTTGAGATCGGTCAAACAGTGTCGGTGGAGTAGGGTCCTAGTTATTTCTATTCACGATCAGTCATAATCATTATTGTGATTCTACATCGAGAGATGGCAGCATGAATGCAGAATCAACATTTACTTGGTGAAAAAATTCGATTTTGGCGACTTTCCTCGTGAAAAAATCCAAGATCTGACCCTCGATCCAGGTGAAAATGAAAATTTTTTCTTTCGACATTTCTGTCGCCTCCGAGTGTTTCCTTGACATCTAAGGGGTGAATAAATACAGAATCAACATCCATTTGGCGGAAAAATTCGATTTTGGCGAAAGTCGACTTTCTCCGTGATAAAATCCAAGATCTGACCCTCGATCCAGGTGAAAATCAAAATTTTTTATTCCGACATTTCTCTAGCCTGCGAAAGATCCGAATAATTAGCCCCTCATGTATAGATATTCCAAATTTTTATTTTTTTCCTCATTGAAGTAGTTTTGAAGAAAATTGCGAGCTAATAAAAAACATTTGCTAGTTATTACTTTTTTTTAAATAAATTTTTGAAAAATCACCTCTGAAAAAAAAAGGCGTTACATACCAATCGATAGCAAATTATTTGAAGATTTTTGCGAGTTAAGAAAAAATCGTCAATGCAATCCTATTATGGTGTAAATTAACAATT